ACAAATTTTAAATATTAGTGACTCCATTCCCGATACCGATATTTATTGCACTCAAAATCATATCAAATATCTTCCAAATTTCTAATTGCATCATATTATAAGATCCTATGAAGAAATAATCTAGATAATTTCTTGTTGTTAGATAACTAAATGATTGTACCTTATTTTTCACTTTTATTTCTTTATTTTTTTATTTTATCGCATTCTCGAAATCCTCTGTGCGCTTAGCATTGCTTGTTTTCTTCATCTATTCTTATTTTGTCATAATGAAGTCAACCTACACCTTCTATTCTATTCTAAATAACGGTTCTAGTCTACATCGCATGAATCTCATTCATCTTAATTTACTATCATCGGTTCATTTTCGGTCCCCTCCCCTTTAGATGTGAATTGGTACATATACTATTTTATTTTGTCTGGTTTCGGCCAGGTTACTTTTCATTCCATGATATCTTTCGGGGCAATAACTTTGAAGCCAGATAAAAAACATTTTCATAATTAGATCTTCCTACAGACATTGATGATCAATTGTTAATTAGACATGTTGTTAGTTCTAGCTGCTTCTCTTCTCATTAGATTAGGTCTTATTCTTAACATTAACAAAGACATGTAAACGATGTGTTCTATCAAGACTCGAAACACCTTAGTTCGCAATCTTATTGGCAAATTATAAAATTTAGTTTGATTCAGTTAATTTAGGATATCCTGCTGCTTATATTATTTCATTTTCCTAAACATGCCATGTATCCACGTGTTATTCTGTTCATTCCGCCATGCCCTTAGTCCTAAAAGATATCTTATCTTAGACTATTTTATACTTCTAATTATGGGTGTTCATACAATGCTATTTTCTAAATAAATATATAAAATTTGTTCCTAATTACATATATGTAATAATGAACAAATTCGTGTACATATTTTCATCTATAGAATTCATCTCATCTTCTCGTTCTGAAGGCCAATTGGCAACTGCACATCACCTTCACAGTTGTCACCAATAGGACGCGGGCCCAACTAACATATCAAGTCCCCAATGGAATTGGTACCAGTCACAATCAATTGCAACCCTCATCTGACCTTACTCAGGCCTCTTCTCCCAAGCCCGTAATCTCCTTCTCGCCACCTCCATCCACTGTTACTTTTGCCAACTCCACTTGCCACTCTGGTCCTGCTGCAACTATATGGTACCCTCCTGATCTAGTGGAAACAGACTGTCTCCATTTTTCCTTGCCTCTTCGTCTCCTTCCCTCTGAACCGACCAGTGTTCTCGATTCATTAACTTCTTCAGTTAGTTCGGCAGTCGGCATTGAAGGCATGGCTCTAACTGCAGTCAGCCTGGATACAGTAGTCCAGCAGCTGGAGTAACTAAGTCAGTATTAAGGGCTCGTAACTACTACTGACGCTATATTTATGTGAATATATCCCAAGATGCTAATCTCTTTAGCCTGGTCTCTTGCGGGACTGTTCATTTCGGCCGAAAGGCCGTCTAAATAATCACTTCAAATCCTAAAGGGATTGAGAATACCGATCTACATGTTCTGTATACTTTTAGCTCATGAAAGTAACCTTAGTTTAGGTAACATGTACAGCTTATTCCTCATTTTAACTTTTTAACTCCCCATCACAAATAGGCTTCACATATCTGCTAACTTTGGTGTTCTCTACTTTATATTACTCCCAAATTCAGCCCCGTGAGTGCTCTAATTGTGCTCAATGTGTTCCACATGTAAAAATGTAATCCACAGTT